ACACACACACACACACACGAGCGCGCGCGCGCTCTCTCTCTCGCTCTCCCTCTCTCCTCCTCTCTCTCTCTCTCACACTCTCTCTCTCTCCTTCTCTCTCTCTCTCGCCCGTCTCTCTTCCCTCTCGTTCGGTCTGTCTGGGAAGTCTCGTTCACAGTTTATCCTATTTCAGTGGCACGTGTGGAGCGTCCCATTTCTCGTCGGGGGAGTTGGAGATGGCCGTGCGATGCTTTGACAAAGCCATTCATTTCGATAGCGGTCAGGTGTCTTTCTATGTTCAGGTGAGATATATGTGTGTACGCGCCGCAGTCACTACATAAATTACCGAACATTATTAGCTATCCTTATATCTAATATCCCCAATTAGATATATCACATATTGCCTCGCACAATCAAGCACAGCTGTATCATCTCTCGTTTCTGCCGAGAGTGAGTGCGCTATGAAAATCACAACCGAAAATGTCATGTATTGCTTACAGAAGCCAGCGCAATTGTGTAATTTCTATTATGTATAGATACGGCAATGATGGTACATCAAAATCGCTCACGAAATGCTAGTCGCGCCGCCGCTCGATCAGTGCTACGATCTATTACATTCTATTACATCTATTAGATTCTATTACATCTATTAGATTCGATTACATCTCACTTCACTGATGTAATTATAATTGCATTGCTAACGGGATGCGCCATGATTAAAAAAGTAAATAGATAGTATATTGACACAGAATGCTGTTGTTGCTGGCGAGAGGTTGGCAATGAGTGTCTGTAGATGATGAGGTGTGAAATGAACGTGCGTATATGATATATGATGCCATGTTGCCGTCATTATACCTTCTTTGCTCTAGAGAGGGGAAGCTTATTTCCGGCTGGGCGATGTTAAGTCAGCGATAGTGAATTACCGGAGGGCGGCTGCCATTGCTACTGACAAGAACCAGTACAGGTAGGATACACAGCTAGTCTGTCTTAATTAAATATCCCAGAATAGGCCTACGTTTAGTGAAGCCTATATAATATCAAGAGCTAATAAATAGGTATTTATTATCTCTTGATAATATACATATCAGAAGTAGATAATAGGGTCTACTTATTATCTACTTCTACCCTATTATCTACTTCTGATACATATGTATTATGTAGTCCAGGAATTCTAGCATTTGAACGTGAAAAAAAAGCAACAAAAATTATTTCACTGCAGTGCGTTTTAGTAAAGTCTCCAGAACAACATACTAAAAGTCGTAAGAAATCCTCCCACGCAAATTCGCAACATTTGTATAAATCCAAAATGGCCGCCAATTTCCATGATTTTGCAATATCTCTGCTATCCAAGGACATATTTCAAGTAATTTAAAGTTCTATTTTGATTATTATTGGCATGGGAAATGCATTTAGCTATATTAGAATAAAAATGGATCACTCCCTAACATGCGAACATGCAATATGGCCGCCCTAATTTGCATAAATCCAATATGGCTGCTATTTAATTATATGTATAAATGTTCAACTTGCATGAAGATTTCTTATTCGGATTGCCAAATGGTTAATTTGCTGTACTACAATAACAAATACTATGTACAGCTTTATCTCATTATTACATTTATTCAATGCGTATATATATATATATCAAGAGCTAATAATACCTTGATATATATGTATATATAATATACAAACAAACACACTCACACACACACACACACACACACACACACACACACACACACAC